GAGTGTATTATTTGTGAAAAAATATGGTAGAGCTGCTCTGTAGGGTTTTCACACCTGTGGCCTTTCGGAAGCAGATCACCAGGCCTATCTTCCAAGGTGCCTCCTGAACCACCAACCTTTTGGCTAGTAGTCGAGCACTAAATCAATTGCATCACCCAGGAACTCCCTGTGCTTCATTTACATGTTTATTCATTTCTATTACTAGTAGTTTTGGAAATTTCTTAGCCATTATCTCTTTAAATATTGTAACTTCCCAATTTACTTTTTGTCTTCTGGGATTCAGAGTAGACCTCTGTTGAGCGCAAGTGCCAGATAGAAAAGAATATGTACTGTATATTCCATTTAAATAAAATGCCAAAACAGTAAAACTGATCTATGACATTAGGAATCAGTATAACGGTTTCCCTGGGGAGTTAGGGGTAGTAACTGAAAGAGGAGGAATGTGAGGAGACTTCTGGGGTGATGGTATTGTTCAGTTTTCTGATTTGGCTTTTTAACACAAATGTTTTCAATTTGTGAAAATGCAAGTTGCACACTTGCCTGCACTTTTGTGTATTTGTGCTGTACTTCAAGAAATAGTTTAGAAATACCTATTGACTTTTTTTCATCTAATGGAAAACTGGATGTGATGTGATGTTATCAGCAGTGGATTCTGAGCAGGCCCTAGAATGTTGTTCTCCATTCCTACCCTTACCCCAAATAGTGGTATTTGTTAGTCACACCCATGTGGTTTTTAAGTTGTGCATTAGATAAAGAGACATTTAGTCTTTCAGTGGTAGAGAATGCCCTTTTTCCCTTTCTTGATTTTAAATGTTAGTAAAGAAGTTATTTGTCTCCAAAACCGAACCCTCTATCTACTTCCAGTGGAATGGAAGATTGTGTTTTTCGGACACTGTTTCCTCCTTTGGGAAGAGGGCTGCTGCTGCAGTGGGAAAAGTGTCTGTGTGTATACGCACACATGTATATATGTATATAAACTATAATATCTCACTACAGTTGGCTAACTGGGTTACTGGAAGATCTAAAGGTGGAGTAAGAATTCAGTAAAGTGTGAGGGATACTCAGAGGGGGTGTTGCCTCAGGCAGAGACCGCTTTGACCCACAGTCATCTCTTCCATGCTGGTGACTATTGACAGAAAGGACAAACACCAGTCTTGTGACTCTTGGCTTGCATATTTACTTGTGGGGGAAGTGGTTGCTGCCTTTGGACACTTGGTCTTTGTCTTTTCTTTGAAAATATTTTGTGGGTTTAGTCATTTTGAATAATGAGTAATACATATAGAAAGTGATACCCCATGGGTCTGTGTGAATGGCACCGTCTCCTTTTTTATGTAATACCTTTAGAAGATTGCTGTGTGGAAAAGAAAAAGAGACTGAGTGATTATTTCTTTAGGATTCAGTATGTACAGCTTTCTTTGCAACTTGAGAATATACGTCAGGATCTTTTTCTCTGTTCAGTATAGTCAAGCATTACTTTCAGCTCTTTAGGGAATATCTTCTTTAGCAGTGTGTCAGTTTGAGGGATTCAGAACGTAATAATAGAATGTTAGAGGTTCTTACATGTACAATTCATTGACATGAATTACTTTTACCATGTTGTACTACCATCACCACTACCAATTTACAAATTTTTTTCATCACCCTTAACAAACTCATTGCCACGTAAGCAATGACTGTTTCCCTCACCCACCTACCTTGGTAACCACTAATAAACTTTGTGCTCTATGCATTTGCTTATTCTAGATATTTCATGTAAGTGGAATCATATAATATTTGTCCTTTCGTGTCTGGCTTATTTCACTTAGCATAATGTTTATAAGGTTCATCCATATTGTAGCATTTATCCAAACTTTATTTCTCTTTATTGCTGAATAATATTCCGTTGTATAGATATACCACATTTTGTTTATCTGTTCATCTTTTGATGGGCACTTGGATTATTTTCACCTCTTGGCTGTTGTGAATAATGCTGCAAGGAACATTGGTGTACAAGTATCTGTTTTGAGTTCCTGGTTTCAGTTCTTTTGGGAATAACCCAAGAGTGGAAATGCTTGGTCATATGGTAATTCTGTGTTTAACTTTTTTGAGGAGCTGCCAAACAAGTTTTCCACAGCAGCTGCACCATTTTACATTCCTACCAGCAATGGTCGAAGGTTCCGATTTCTCCACATCCTCTTCAACACCTGTTATTTTTTGTTTTTCTGATAATAGCCATCCTAGTGAGTATGAAGTGGTATCTCATTGTGATTTTGATTTGTATTTCCCTAATGGCTAATGACATTGGTCATCTTTTTATGTGAGCCCTGAGTTTTTTATACCACGCAGAGATGCCCTGTTAATATCATCAAGTTGTCTTTATTGTTCCTCAGACACATATGAGAACAACACATCTACCATTTGTGTTACACTTTACAAAGTACTTTCATATACATTATTTTATATGATCTTTACAGCCACTAAATCTAAGCCATAGAGGTAGGTGAAAAAATCCCCAGTCACATAGTTACATGTTATTAAGCCATGGCATGAACCTAGTTTTCTGAATTTCAAATTTTGTGCTTTTTCCTACATACCCTAATATTATTGTATAATGTAAATCTTTTTTCATGTTCTTGGGGTGACACCATGTGAATTTAGTAGAACAAGCAAATGGTCAAGAAGAGTTTTGTTAGAATTTCATAGGAGTGCAATAGCTGCATATACACTGGTTTCCCTCTTTGATCCTGACCTCAAGATCGACTCACGCTAAAATGTGAATTAAGTGGAGCTAAAACGTCATAATTCCCAGAGCAATAGTAGTGGTCTGTTAAACGAGAAAGGCATCTTTGTGCATCCCAGCAGATATATTTGCTGCCACAGCTGAGGAAGTAATTGTATTTGGGGATAATGGCCCTTTTAAGGCCAGTTAGTAAATGATATTAAAGTCGATTTCCTCCTAGGTAGTGTTTTTCTCTCTTGAAAGCATTCTTTCTGACTCTCCCTGGAGTAGCTACTAGCCAGAAGGCTCTACCAGTAAGTAATGTAAGGGATACAGTATATCCTTTACCCAGTAAAGTCTCTTTAGCTGACCTAATTGTAATTGACAGTTGTCATCAGTTCAAATCCAGGTGGGGAGAGAGGAGCCTCTTGTGAGCCTTATAATGCTGATAAAGATCATAGTAAGTACTATTTACTTACTTGATTGATTCATTGATTTATTCATCAAATATTCATTTGATGCCTACCAGGCCAGGTGTTGTGTTAGGTTTTGGGAATGTTATTGTGAGAGAGACTGGTCCCTGCTTCTCCAGAGCTAGAAGTCAGTTAGAGAAAACAGTTAATGAAACAAATAATTATAATAAGGAGTGAAGTGTATATGATGGAGGAATTAAAGGAATATTTGAAAATATATAGAAGGAGGCTAGGGAAACTAAGTGTAGGGAAAACTTCCCAGACGAAATGGGGTTTAAGCTGAGGCCCAATTGTGTGTTAAAAAAAGTAAGGAAAAGTGATCCAGGCAGAGGGAACAGTATGTGTGAAGACCTGACGATGAGAAAGAGCATGGCATGTTTAAGAGACTAAAACACCAGTAAGACTGCAGAATTGGGCAAATGATGCTGAAGAGGTAGGCAGTGCCAGCCAGGTAACACCCTGTAGCCAACAGAAAGGTTTTTAGACTTTATCCATTGAGGAGTTTTAAGTACAAACATGACCCAGTCTGGTCTGCATTTTAAAAAAGATCTTTTTGATAGCAGTGTGTGTTTTGTTAAGCTCATAAGGTATCACCCAGAAAATGGACACTAATTATATGCTATTTACCTTGATATGACATTAATAATTAAGGGAAACAAAACTAAATTGAATGACCAATTAGGAGGGTGTTATAGGATGATGGTGGCTTGGACTAAGCGACATGGCAGTGTCTCTAATGGCAGTTGGTTATACGTGTTAGGAGTTTGGGAGACAGGTCTGGGAAGGAGAGAGTTCTTCTTACAAAGTGTTGGAGAGGGAGAGTAAATTGGTACAGCCATTTTTGGGAGCAGTCTGGAGCATCTAACACCTTATGACTCAGCAGTTCCACATCTAAGTACGTGCTTCCAAGAAACTTTTTATAAACATACATGAGGAAACAAGCACAATGTTTATAGGAGCATTGTTTTAATGGATGGAGGGGGAAAAAGAAACCTGAAAACCAAATTAGATTTCCAATAACTGCAGAATGGTTAAATAAGTATTACTATTATTTAGACTGGACACTATTCTACTAAAGATTAATGAACTAAAGTAAAACACATCCACATGGATGAATCTCCCAATTATAGTTGTTGACTGAAGAAGCAAGTCACAAATGAATACATATAATATGAAACCATGTAAAACAGTACTAATAATTATTTATGAATATATATGTAATAAGATATAAAGGCATATATGGGGAAGATAAACAACAAATTCAAAATAGTTAAGTGGGGATTGGTGGGGGTGGGGGATGGGACTCGATACATTTGGAGAGCAAATCATAGAGGCCCCAACTATTATCATAAGGCTTTTTACTCCTTCCAGTGGTATGTGTATTCATCTCTTTGCTGTATTATTTTCTATATTTCTTTATATAAAGTAATTTATAATTACAAAAAAGAATCACATTTCATTCATTTCATATTCCGGACCCTAATGATACGAATCCTGTACTATTCTTCAGCAGTTAATGATTAGTCCCACCATGCCTGGATTCTGTACTGGGGAGATGGTTTCATCTAGTGGAGAAAATGTCACTAGTATTCTATGAGACATTTCTTTTGGGAAGGAAGAATAAGAGGTAGTAGTTAACCTGACTGTTCTTTATTTCACTAAAACTTAAGAGACAATGGAAAAGATTATCCTTTAGAAATATTTAGTGTTCACCATTATTAAGATAATGCTGTAATAACAACATAACTCTTAGGTTGTTTAGTGCAGACTTTTAGGACTCAGATGAGTCTTTATTTCTGTCTAAATTGTGTTTGTATTTTGTTTTTCAGAAGGAGTTGAGCCTTCCAAGAAGAGGCAGTTTGTAAGTAGACGACTATTATCATTATGAGTGTGATTATGATTATTATCGCATCTTGGGGACTCCTCTCAGCCTCACTTGGAGGAAATCCATCCAAGAGTGGTTTGGGGTTTTTTTTTTGCAGGCTCATATCTGGGCCAGGGAAGCCCACGGACCTGCTGACTTTTGCTAGGTCAGACCCTTCCTTGTCTTAATTTCTGCCTAGCATTTTCAGAACGCTTCTACTTAAATGTTCATCGGATTTGATATTTGTATTTTGGGATTTACTGAGTTTTACTAGACTTAAGCTTTTTGAACATATTGAAATTGAGACTCTTGGCATCTACATCTATTTCATAACGTGATACTAGGGAGAGCCAACTTTTCTGACAAGTTAGGGCAAGGGCAGCTATGTTTGGGAACTAGGCTGAAATAGAGTTTTCTTTCACCCATTTGTTGTATTCTGGCTTCAGGGCTAGAGGAGCTTGATGAATAATTTTTGTTCATGGATTTTAATCTCTTATGTTTTCATGGCCTGCTTTTTCTCTAAGAATTCTGTTGGGACAGTACTGCAAATTTGGCTAATCAGAATTATCTGGAACGTTTGTTAAAATATAAAGTCTGAACTTAATGAATTAGCATCTCATTTCGAGCCCAAGAACCTGTATTTTACACATATGCATCCACACCCACCATGGTTTTGCTAAGAAGCCAAATTTGGGAAACATAAGGAAATAGGACAATGATAAGACAGTGGCTTTGAGACATTTCCTTAAGGGATGTAATTAGGGAGGGGCACACAACAGTATCTATTTCTTAAATCGCCACAAGTATTCATTTTATTAATTATACTTTACATCGTGTCTGTGTGTGTGTGTGTGGGGGGGTTTAATGTATGAAACACATGGTAGTTCTTTCTGTTACTGTCATTTTAGGATCTTGTTAACATGCTGTAGATTCAGTTATCCTCTAAGATTTGTAAAGCTTTTTTGGCTGGTTTATGAAAGCTCATGGTGGTTTGGTATAAAGAAACGAGCTATGAGTCAGAAAACTCCTAGGATCTAGTCGTGGCTGTCTCACTTAACTAGCTTCCTAAACTTAGACAAATCACTCATCTCCCTAAACCTCAGATGGCTTATCTATAAAATGAAGATTGTGATACCTGCTTTTCCTTTTTCATAAAGCTAGTAGAAGGATCATTTAATATATGTAATAGTGTTTTATTAGTTGTACTTTTATTCTATAATGTATTATTTTTAGAGTTCTTGTAAACACTGGATTTATAAGAACAACACAAAATAAATGAAATTTGGTAATTTTGGAGACCCTCAATAGTTATTGATATCCTTTAGGCATTAGTGAGCTGAAATGGACCGGTATCAGCCATTTTAAATCAGAAAATCATATGATCTACTATGCCAGGAATGACAACTTAAAGAAGAATGGTGTTGCATTCATCGTCAAAAAGAACTTTACAAGATCTATCTTAAAGTACAATGCTGTCAGTGATAGATAGGATAATATCCATATGCCTACAAGGAAGACCAGTTAATATGACTATTATTCAAATTTATGCACCAACCACTAAGGTTAAAGAAGAAGAAACTGAAGATTTTTACCAACTTTTGCAGTCTGAAATTGATCAAACATGCAATCAGGATGCATTGATAGTTACTGGTGATTGGAATGTGAGAGTTGGAAACAAAGAAGGAGGATCCATAGTTGGAAAATATGGCCTTGGTGATAGAAACGACGCTGGAGATCACATGATAGAATTTTACAAGACCATCAACTTCTTCATTGCAAATACCTTTTTTCAACAACATAAATGGCGACTACTCACGTGGACCTTGCCGGATGGAATACAAGGGAATCAAATCGACTACATCTGTGGAGAGAGACTATGGAGAAGCTCAATATCATCAGTCACAGCAAGGCTGGGACTGACTGTGGAAGAGACCACCAATTGCTCATATGTGAGTTAAGTTGAAACTGAAGAAAGTTAGAACAAGTCCACCAGAGTTAAAGTATAACCTTCAGTATATCCTACCTGAATTTAGAGACCATCTCAAGAATAGATTTGATGTGTTGAACGCTAATGACCGACGGCCAGATGACTTGAGGAGTGACATCAAGGACATCATACAGGAAGAAAGCAAGAGGTCATTAAAAAGGTAAGAAAGAAAAGACCTAAATGGATATCAGAAGAGACTCTGGAACTTGCTCTTGAACATAGAGTAGCTAAAGCAAATGGAAGAAATGATGAAGTAAAAGAGCTGAACAGAAGACCTCAAAGAGTGGCTCGAGAAGACAAAGTACACCCCACTCCTCACTTACCGATGTGGTTAGGTTTCAAAGACGATGTTGTTATCGGAAAATTGACGTTATGGGAAAATGGAGGATGACTCCATCAGATCACAAAAAGGAGGTTGACTACATCAGTACATAACTACCAAATTATGTCATTGTATAAATGCCAAACCACTGAGAATCATGGCCCACCAAGTTGACACAGAACCTTAACCGTCACAGCCAGTATTACTCACACCTCCCACCTCAGTGTTTGTTACTGCCACGCGTACATTGTTAACGCAAAAAGTAGTCCAATAGTAGATTCTTTACTATTGTCAAAAATGCAAAATGTTGGATAATGAGATAGTCAATAAGTGAGGAGCAGGTGTAGAGTCCCTGATGTGTCTGTCAGTTTGTTGTACTGTGGGGACTTGTGTGTTGCTGTGATGCTGGAAGCTGTGCCACCGGTATTCAGATACCAGCAGGGTCACCCATGGTGGACAGGTTTCAGATGACCTTCCAGACTAAGACAGACTAGGAAGAAGGACCCAACAGTCTATTTCTGAAAAGAATTAGCCAGTGAAAACCTTATGAACAGCAGCAGAACATTGTCTGATATAGTGTCAGAAGATGAACCCTTCAGGTTGGAAGGCAGTCAAAAGATGACTAGGGAAGAGTTGCCTCCTCAAAGTAGAGTCAACCTTAATGACGTGGATGGAGTCAAGCTTTCAGGACTGTCCTTTGCTGATGTGGCATGACTCAAAATGAGAAGAAACAGCTGCAAACATCCATTAATAATCAGAACCTGTAATATAAACAGTATGAATCTAGGAAAATTGGAAATAATAAAAAATGAAATAGAATACATAAACAGTGATATCCTAGGCATTAGTTAGCTGAAATGAACTAGTATTGGCCATTTTGGATCAGACAGTGATATGGTCTATGGTGCCTGGAATGACAACTTGAAGAGGAATGGCATGTGCATTCATTGTCAAAAAGAACATTACAAGATCTATACTGAAGTACAACGCTTTCAGTGATAATATCCATACACCTACAAGGAAGACCAGTTAATATGACTATTAATCAAATTTACTCACCAACAATTAAGGCCAAAGATGAAGAAATTGAAGATTTTTACCAGCTTCTGCAGTTTGAAATTGATCAAACATGCAATCAGGATTCATTGATAATTACTGGTGATTGGAATGCCAAAGTCAGAAACAAAGAAGGATCAGTAGTTGGGAAATATGGCCTTGGTGACATAAATGATGCTGGAGATCCCATGATAGAATTTTGCAAGACCAATGAATTCTTCATTGCAAATACCTTTTTTCACCAACATAAACGACGTCTACACATATGGACCCTGCCAGATGGAATACAGAGAAATCAAACTGACTACATCTGTGCAAAGAGACGATGGAAAAGTTCAGTATCATCAGTCAGAACAAGGCCAGGGGCTGACTGCAGAACGGACCATCAGTTGCTCATATGCATGTTCAAGTTGAAGTTGAAGAAAATTAGAACAAGCCTTTGAGAGCCAAAGTATGACCTTGAGTATATACCACCTGAATTTAGAGACCATCTCAAGAATAGATTTGATGTGTTGAACACTAATGACCGAAGACCAGATAACTTGTGGAATGACATCAAGGACATCATACAGGAAGAAAGCAAGAGGTCATGAAAAAGACAGGAAAGAAAGAAAAGACCTAAATGGATGTTAGAAGAGACTCTGAAACTTGCTCTTGAACATTAAGTAGCTAAAGGAAAAGAAAGAAATGATGAAGTAAAAGAGCTGAACAAAAGATTTTAAAGGGCGACTTGAGGAGACAGAGTAAAGTATTATAATGACATGTGCAAAGAGCTAGAGCTAGAAAACCAAAAGAGAAGTACACGCTCAGCATTCCTCAAGCTGGAAGAACTGAAGAAGAAATTCAAGCCTGGAGTCGCAATAGTGAAGGATTCTATGGGGAAAATATTAAACGATGCAGGAAGCATCAAAAGAAGGTGGAAGGAGTACACAGAGTCATTATACCGAAAAGAATTGGTCAGCGTTCAACCATTTCAAAAGGCAGCATATGAATCAGGAACCGATGGTGCTGAGGGAAGAAGTCCAAGCTGCACTGAAGGCACTGGCGAAAAACAAGCCTCCAGGAATTGATGGAATATCAATTGAGATGTTTCAACAAACCTATGCAGCACTGAAAGTGCTCACTCATCTATGCCAAGAAATTTGGAAGACAGCTACCTGGCCAGCCAACTGGAAAAGATTCACATTTATGCCTTCCCAAGAAAGGTGATCCAACAGAATGTGGAAATTATCGAACAATATCATTAATATTACACGCAAGAAAAATTTTGCTAAAGATCATTCAAAAGCAGCTGCAGCAGTATGTTGACAGGGAACTGCCGGAAATTCAGGCCGGATTCAGAGGAGAACGTGGAACCAGGAATATCATTGCTGATGTCAGATGGATGTTGGCTGAAAGCAGAGAATACCAGAATGATGTTTACCTGTGTTTTATTGACTATGCAAAGACATTCAACTGTGACAAATTATGGATAACATTGCAAAGAATGGGAATTCCAGGACACTTAATTCTGCTCATGAGGAACCTGTACACAGATCAAGAGCCAGTTGTTCAGACAGAACAAGGGGATACTGTGTGGTTTAAAGTCAGGAAAGGTGTGTGTCAGGGTTGCATCCTTTCACCATACCTATT